ATCACTTGTCACGATGTTCGGGTCTTCCTCCTCCCAAAGGTAGCGAATCTGCGATTCATCGATAACGCCAGTGCGGAACCGCTTGTACTTCTTGATCTGGTCCATGATAGGCTGGATGCGGATCTTGAGTAGGTTAAGAGTTTGGTGGTCTTTCTTTTTCTGCGCCTTGAGCTGCTCCTTGGAGAGGGGCGTTGCCGGCTTAGGGGGCGGTGGAGGTGCAACTTCCAACGTCTCCAGCTCCCTCTTCTTCCGATTCTCCGGGTCGGGAAGGTGTGCAGGTGATGTCTTGACGTAGTCAATGACTTTTGTAAAGTATTCGTAGCGTGCCTCGCTACCTGGCGCTCTGAGATCGTAAAAGTTTTTCTTTGAATACCCAAACAAGTTCCGCAGCACACCGTTGTCCATATCCTCTCCTGCCGACTCCTGCACGCCCAATAGCAGCACAGGATCGGTCGGAGGAACTGACCGCAGTAAACCCAGGAACGTAGACATCACAGCCGGGCCGACGGTATCAGTCCAAGCCTGGATGTTCGGGATGTAGATCACACTCGGCTTGTGCCTTTTGACTTCGGCGAAAAGCTGGATGACGGCGGCCTCCGGTGACCGAGTCGAGTCGCTGAGCAGGGTAGGGAGATCGAAAGCTTGAACATGAAGTCCCTCAAAATGGTGCAAAAGGGCGCCGGCCAGATACTGCTGGCCCATTCCTAGCGGCCCGCGGAGCAGCATGCGAGGACGGAACACCCGGGAGCGATCGAACTCCTGCTGCATTTGTTCGCGCTGGAAGCTTCCTGATCCTTCCGGTTCCTCAAACTGCGCCTCTTCTAAGGCTGTAAGCCTCTTTCGCTGCGGCAAGATCAAAGACAACAAATTCTTGATCTCTGTGAGAGGCGTGCGCAGCAAAGGCTCGACCGAGGGGGGCAGGGGTGAGGCACCCGACGAGGTTGATCGCTCCGACGACGGGACCATCTTCTTAATCGCCAACATGAAATCCTTGGGAGTCACTTCAATGGTCTTCGGGTCGATGAGTAGCTTCTGGTTAGACTTGTAGATTTGGGGGTATCGTCGTTGCACTGCATTGAGGGCTGCCTCTGTGCAGAGGGCACGAAGATCAGCACCACCATAGCCCTTGGTGATCTCCGCCAGCTCATCCTTGATGGGGCCAGGCAGCGGTGGATCCCAGCCCTTGGTGTGGATGTCCAGGATAGAACGTCGGCCATCCTTGTTGGGCAGTGGAAAGTAAAATTCGCGATCGAAACGACCAGGGCGTCGAAGAGCTGGGTCAATCGAGTCGGGACGGTTCGTGGCGCCAATGACGATGACTTGTCCACGTCCATCCATACCATCCATCAACGCCAGCAGAGTGGATACAATCGAGGCATGGATTTGTTCCTGCTTACTTGACCGTACAGGTGCCAATCCTACAGCACTGTTAGCTTTCAATACTCTCCCGACAGAAAGGGGACTCATTTACCATCGATTTCATCGAAGAAGATAATGCTAGGCTGTGTCTTTCGAGCCTCTTCAAAGAGCAACCGAAGCTGTCGCTCCGCCTCACCCACCCATTTACTTAAAGCGTCGGCACCCTTGCGCATGTAGAAGGTCACCTTACGGCCATTCGAGCTGACACTGTTCGCCAATGCTCGGGCGAGCAGCGTCTTACCAGTTCCGGGGGGTCCATGGAAAAGCACACCTCGCGGAGGTACGATGTGGAAGCGTTGGAAGATCTCTGGATATAGTAGCGGCAGCGACACCATTTCCTTCAACTGGTCGATGTGGCCCTGCAAGCCACCAACACTGTCGAAGTTGACGCTCATGTCCACACCCAACGGGTCAGCATCAGCCAGTGTCTGCTTGTCTTTGACTTTGCCGAGATTTGCAGGCGTCCCGGCGTGGCCCTGGGCTGCATCGGCGCTGTGAGTCTGCGTACCCAAGAGGCCGGCACCAGGCTGCGCAGGGCCCGAGATGGAACCCCCTGCACCACCCTTGGGATGCTGCATAACCTCGTCGTCACTGCTATCGCTGTCTACCCCACCCGTAGCAGCCGGTGCGCCCGGGGGCCCCAAGATGGCAGACGGCCCGCCGCCTCCGAATGGCCCATATGTGGGAAACAGGGTCCGCTGCCAACTGTTGCCGCCGCCTCCCCGGCCGCGGCGTGAAGGGGATTCATTGACTTCGTTCTCAGCCTCCTCAATGGGCAGGATCAGATCAGGCCGGATGATGCGGTAGTCAACATCCTTGCGACTGCGGCGAGGCTTCTCGTAAACAATCTCCTGTTGCACTCGCCGACGAGGACGACCGCCGCGAAGATCCTCCAATTCCTCTGCGAGCTCCTCCGCGATGTCAGCACCCACTTCGGACTGTCCCCGGGATCGGGACGCGCGTTTGCGGAGACCCGGGCGACGGCCGGCGGTGCTGTCCTCATCCTCCTCATGGGCCTGACTTCCCTTGCGTGGTGAAGCTTGCGACTTCCCAGACTGTGAGATCTCGTCGTCGTCATTAGACTCTTCTTCCTCTGGCTCGAAATCACTCTCTTCGTCGTCTTGGCGTTTTCGTTGTGAACTTTTCGGCTTCTTTCGACTGGACCGGCGCGGCTGTGCAGCCTCGTCCTCCTCGGGCTGCTCGGCCTCGTCGTCTGCCTGCTGGCTGCGGTTGGGTCGATTCCTCCTTCGTGTCGTCGGGCCCTCATCCTCCTCGTCGTCGTCGTCATCGTCGCCGCCGCCGCCCTCCTTTGCATCGCCATTTTCAGACTCTGGAACGAACCCTTCATCATCTGCTGTGGTTGTCTCTTGTCCTGCAGGCGGCATGCCGTCCTCAAAGCTGATCTGAACATCGCTTTCCATAATTTCGAGTTGAGAGCCTTTGATCTCCATGGTGGTCTCATCGACCATCTCTTCATCCTCCTGCTTCGGCTGCAAGTCCTCCTCCTCCTCATCGAGCACCGGGGCCCGCTTCGAGCCACGGGACCCCCGACGCCGCTCTATCTCAGGGCTCCGTGTGGTTCCTCGTTCGACGGTCTCCATATGTCGTCCGGACGTCGTTAGGGCGTGGAAATCCTCCGATGGATCCCGCGTGCGCCGAGTGACCCGGCGGGGGCCCTGAAAGTTTTGTTTCAAGGCGTCGCCGACCTTCAGGGTGACCACCGTACTCTTGCGTTTCTGGGGCGAGGGTTTAGGGCGTTCGTCATCGTCCGTATCGTCGTCTTCGATGCTGCTGGATTCGGGTTCGTTGTAGAGGGGACGGTTGGTAGCGGCCCGGCGAGCGACTAACCCGCGAGCGTTGCGTTGAGCGTTGGTATCATCTTCCTCTTCTTCGGACTCGGCGAATGAAAGGTCCTCGGCCTCGTCGAAGATCTCGTCATCGGAGATGATGTCGTCGTCGGAATCGCGACGGGCCCTTTTCTTGACGGGCTTGGACTTCTTCTTGGACTTGGTTCGAGAGGCGGAGCGTCGAGATGAGCGCACGGGATGATCGCTGTAGTCGTCATCGTCCGAGTCGGACTTATTGGCCAACTCCTCGATGGAGCGCTTAGCACGAGGCATGATGCCGCGCCAGACAGGGGATCTTTTGCGAATTGCCATGTTAGTAGGGTGAGCAAGACGAGGAAGTGATGGATTAGCAAGCAGAGGATGGAGAGAATGACAGAGAGTAGAGAAGATACAAGAAGCACGAGGGCGATGAAGCGTGGAGTTGAAGCCAGAGACGGGGAAGATGTCCCGCCGCGGCGATTAAACAGCGGAGAAGAATGACAGTGGCACTTACAGAGGCCAATGTAACAAGAAAGTGAATGGGGGAAATGGAAAAGGCCCGTTGCAGTCCGACAGGAAAGGCTGGTAGAAGGGGAAGCAAAACTCGAATACACTCACTCGGACAGACACACACAGAGCGAGCGATGGAGAGGTCTCTCACTCAACGAGCGACGATGATGGTAGATTCTCAGGCAAACCCACAATGGAAGCAGGTTTCAACGGCCATCAATTATTAATGGAGAAGGAAACAGAGGCCGTTGAATAATACAACACGAGGGTAGGAGAGGGAGTGGGAGGGAAGAAAGGAAATAAAAAATAGAAGACGACGGCGAAGCGCAATGCGCCAAAAGCAAGAGGAGAGAGAGAAAGGCAGGGAAATGAAATGAACGGAGCGAGGCTCACGGACTGACCAACCGGAAGGGACGCGTCGCATGCAAGCTGCTCAGCACAGGGGGAGGGGAGGGGATTGGATCCCCGATGGAGAGGAGGGAAGAAGAAAATGATAAAATGAATGAATGAATAGGAAAAAAAAGAATTCTCCAGAGTGGCCAAAGTGATAGATAAATCCACCGGGGAAGGAGGACGATGGATAGATCAAGAGACCGGAGATGCTCACAGCAACAAGCAGTGAGAGAGAGACACAAGAGAAGCAGCAGCTGAACTGCGCGGGCAATTCAGTGCCCGGTAGCTGGCCTCAGGCCACCACCCACCCGTCCCCGAGTGGTTACTAACCAGCAACCAGTTCCTAATGTAGTCTAGCGCAGCCGCCAATCCAGGACTGTGCGCACCACAAACCAAACAAGTATCAGCCCTTCCCATTCTTATCTTCGCTATTTCTCCCGTCCTGTTCCCCCCCGTTCCTTTCATAACAACATTCATCCCCCCTCCATACCCCAGAACAACAAACTCCCCAATTTCACCTTCTATATAGACTGAATACACAAAACCAAAACTAAAATATCTCCTCAAACTAAACAATATCTTCTACAACCTTTCCAATCATAACCCACCAAAAATTCAGTACCTTTCCCAAGATAAAATCATAGAAAACATCGTAGATCTTGAACCACATTTCAGCCCCATAATGTGCCTAGATAGTTAAAAAATAAAAATAGCAGCCCACGATTTTTTTCCCCACGAAGCTTATCGCCCTTAAACTCCTTGCCCCCCTCCCCGCGTGTTCTCGACTTTCGCCTCTCGCTTGATATCATGTGACTGTTTGGCCCGAAGGCATCGCTGAGTCAGCACGGTCCGTCTTCTCTCGCCGAAAGCAACTTTCCAACTTGCGGAGATAACAATACATATCTACTACATAAACCAAAAAAATCATATGTATTATCACTTCTATTCTATCTAATATCTACCATAGAAATTCATGAAAATGTTCTCCCGCTCCTTCAACCCCCTCCTCCGCTCCCGGATCCCCATCACTCAGCGGGCCTCCCTGTCCACCTCCACTGCCAGATGGAGCCAGGACTCGTCATCATCCAGTGCTTATAGGGAAGGAGTAAGTATATCCATCTGTTCATCTACTTTACCTGACTGTCTCACCAAAAGTCAATTCAATGCTAACCCATGCAACCAGATGGCCCGCTACAAACTCTTCGTGAGTCCCTTCGCCAAGGTCTTCCTCGGTGCCATCTTCACCTATCAGGTCATCCACTGGACATGGCTGAAGTTGGAGATGGATGAGTCTAAGGCGGAGAAGAATAGTAAGTGTCCTTTATCCTCTACTTAATATTGGTTCTTGTGCTGTTATGAAAGTGAAGGACAGAAATGTGGCTGACTGATCCCATGTAGAGGAGGTAGAGGCGCTGGAGAAGAAGGCTAAGGAATTGACCGGCGCGCAAAAATAAGCGTTTCGTCGCCTCGTTCAATTGGTTTATTACTTGTCTCTTGGAGTGTATATATACCCCTACTTATCTTATATTTATATATTCATGTCTATGCCGAGTGCTTGTAGTACTGGTAATATTGTTCTTGAATCTTGATTGTTGGTATGCGTGTCTTCGTTATATATATGTGTGTATCCTAACGCTATGAAAAACAAAACAAATGATGTGACTGGACGTGGCTAAAGTTACATGCCCCCCCCCCCCCCCCCCCCCCCTCTTTTTTTTTTTTTTTTTTTTTTTTTTTTTTTTTTTTTTTTTTTTATAGTAGGCTCATCAATACTGTAAAGATGGTGGAGCACCGCTTGATCCGTGCCAAGTTATTGCATCCCCTCGTGCGAGGCTAGACCGACACAATAAGCCGAGCTGCCTTCGTGAGGCAACCGACTCGACTGCATGGTGTCGTCACCACGATAGAACGATCCCCATGAGGAATCGAGTCTTGACCGTTTGTCCAGACCCGCCATCTGTGCGGTATCTCTGTGAGGGTTCGTTGGAGACTGCAGCGCCGGAAATTTCCGCTTCCGCAAATTCGACGATTGAGGGTAAGAATTAGACTGATTGTGTTGCAACGAGTCGGTCTCGGGCGTCGGTTCCTCGTCAATTGCCATCAAGTCATCCTGCAGTGGCTCGTGCTCGGCAGCACATTCGCTGCTCACGGATTCGTCATCGCTGATTTCATCCATGGCCGGCTCACTATCATAACCGTTACCGTCGGCCCGTTGTTTCTTAATCTCGTCCCGCTCTTGGCTCTTGGTTAGATGTCCAGAGGGGAGGAGCCAGTCTTCCACGCGCTCGCCTTTCTTGAAATGCTCGACATCGATGTGGTTATATCGTTCGTTCCAGGCGCCCACTCCCTGTGTCTTCAGGGGCAGCAGGACCCGACAGAAACCGCACCAGTAGTGCGAGGGACGCGGATCACCGTCGCGGTTGATCCGATTGTTGCACAGCGACGCCCGGACCTCGTCATCATCGGTTTCGTGATGCTTCTTCAGGTGCTGGACGTATATCTCCTGGCGGTAGAATAGGCGCGCACACGGGAGGCCCTCTTGCGTGGCATCGGGCAGGGTGCACCGCCAGCACTGCGCGTGGAAATGCTGGGAATTTTCGTGGCGCTTCCAATCGGCCTTGCTGCCGAAAGTCTTGTTGCACTTGGAGAATGTGCATCCATATGGCCGTTCGTGTCGCTTCTTATGCTTCCTTTCAAAACGACTCAGTCAGCAAAGTCCCGGCTGATTTCAAAGAAACACCAAGGCTCACTTACTTCATCTCACATCGCAGACGTGTCCGCTTCGTGCAAAATTCACATTGAATCCAGCCCTTCTTCTCACGGTCTTCATCCGGAGTGGCTTGGGAAGGGGCGTGGCTGGAGCCAGACGGCCCTGACAGACGATCGAGGGCAGCGGACAAGATCCTTTGTAGCATATCGCGCTTGCGGTCCGACAGCTCCACATTCTGGTCGACAATTTCGTCCCCAGACTCGGATTGCTGGCTCCGTCTTCGCTCGTTGGTGTTCATGGCCTTTGTCATCGCATTGATCATGTTGACTGCAGCTTCATTGACCATGTCGTCCATCTTTCCGTTTCTGGCGGTGTCGAGCTGGGCGGGTAGGGGACCCTTTTGATCCAACGAAGATTCCAGATTGAGGGCTCTCAGAGCGGGCAGCTCGCTAGGGAGTGGCTTTGCAAGCGGCGGTTGGACCGATGCAGCGTCAGCGCTACGGTCGTTGTACTCTTCATTCATTCGCATGACGGTATCTGGTGTGAGGGTTTCAGGAGACGGGAATCCCCTATCAACGCTAACTGGTGAGGCCGAAGAGCCTTGAATTGTATCTTTCGCAAGGCTCTCAGACTGGGAGACTGGTTCGGCCTGTAGGGTTGGCGCTTCTTCCGACAGGGAATCAATGAAAGAGGACCCCAGCTCCTGCGGCTTCACGCAGGTTTCATACCACTCATGCGACCTAGATAACATGTTAATGCCTCCATCTTGTGTAGCTGATATGCAGAGTGTTCAAGTGACTTACCTCCGTAGCAGCTCCTCAACGTCCTCGTCACTGTGCATACGAGCAAGATGTTGACGGAAGTTGTCCAATCGAGGCCATTTCTTATTCCGGCGTGGGCAGTTATGTCCAAAGCACATGTAGAGGACTTTCGGCCCCCGCTCAGGCTCCTGCTTGTGAACACACTTCTTGTGACGAGCAAGGTCGTTGATGGTACCGAACCCCTCTTTGCGGGTGCAGTTCGGCTCGTCGCATTTGAAGAGCTTCTTATGTCTGGCTTCGTGTTTCCTGTGACAGTCAGCTTCCTAGCCCTTTTCACTGAAGCAAGCACCTAAGGGAACGCACCTCTTGTCGGAAGGACACTTGCCAGTCCATTGACAACCGGGGTAGTCGCACTTGATCACGTCCTGGCACAACAAGGACGGAGAGTCCAACGCATCCATGGCGTCACCATATGGGGCGGTGTTGAGGTCGAGTGCGGATACTCTATCATCCTGCTCGTGGTCGAGAGGTGCCAGGAATGGGCTGCAGGCCGACTCGAGGGCGTATGATGCAGCCACAGAGCGTGTGGTGCAGCCCTGCGTACTATATCCCGAGTCGGACAGATGGATCCCGGTATACTGACTACCAGCCTCGGAGGGAGTGCTGTGATGTCCACTTGATGATCGGCGATCAAGGCCGTAGACTTGGTGCGAACGCGGGACAACGAACGCAGCAGGATAGATGGGCCCACCTGTTACTTGGAGCGGGTTCCACGCCTCTTGGTCGTTTCTCCATCGTGCCAGCGGAGGGTAGGCGGAGGCATCGAATAGCTGGGGGAGGGGCGAGGATGTCTGCTTGTGATACAGTGACCATGGTTGAAGAATGGATGGATGACTAGGATGAGGAATGGCTGGCTCGGATGCGAATTGGAAGCCCAAGAATGACGCCGGATCGCCCAGCGTGAGGTCGGACGGGGACAGCCCGTCGGATGAGAGGTCGACCTGCGAAGAACCTGACGTAGGCACTGCCCGAGTGCCCATAATGCCTTGTAGGATATCACTGGAATTTTCCCAGGGCTTGCTGGGATCGGATGTCTGTGTCACCAAGAGTCAGCTCTGGGCCCGTCTCTTGGCCGGCCGGGCATGTACATATATCCCGCCCGCCGGTGCATGACTGAATATTCAGGGGGGGAATAAACAAAAGGAAACCTGCAACATACACTCATGATGTGTGTGATAATGGCAGGATGAAGCAGATCCTACAGGAGTAAGCTCACCCGCTTTCTCGGTGTGTTATTGGCGAGTAGGAAGATAGCCTCTGGCGAGACGGGAGGAGAGGGCGGACACTGGGAGGTTTATCATATAGCAAGAGGGGACGAAACCCGTCGTGAGGGAACCGATCGGGTTCTAAACCGAGACGGTGATGATGAGCCACAATGCTCCTATTGATGATCAGGTTCCTTTTTCCCTTTCGGGGTGAAATCGTTGGGTTAGGAGATTGTCGAGCACTGGGTCCCAGCTGAGAAGAAGGAAATGATAGAGAGCCGGTTGATCGGCCGCGTATCACTAGAAGGAATAATATATTGGGAGACCAGAGGAGGAGGGAGGAGAAGGAAGAGGGAGGGGAGAATCAGCCGTGGTCGGCGACCAGAAAGACACCTGGGCTAAACGAAAGCAGGAAAAGAAAGGGAGGAGAGTGGAAATCAGCCGGATGAGCGACCGATGAACCGGAGAAAAAGAAATGGGAGGAGAAAAGAGACGAGACGAGCAGAAGAGGAGAAGGAGAAAAAAAAATAAATAATAAATTTCACAAAAAAAGCAAGACAGCGAAAGAGGGGGAACGATAGGAAGAGCGACTGGAACTAAGCATGCAAGAAGACGAGGAGCAGCAGCAGCAGCAGCAGCAGCAGCAGCAGCACAAGCAAGCAGTAAGCGAATAGTTGGATGGGGAACAATGGCAAAGTGGATGGAAAATACGCAGTCCAAGAGGTGAAAAAGGAAATAATGCAAGTAGAAAATAAAATTAGAGAAAAATAAATAATAATTAAGAATAAATTAATATACCGAATAATTATACCATTACTGTAAGAGTAAAATAAAATAAAATAAAAACCGACAGAGAACAGACGACAGGCCGGAAAAAGCAAAACTGGAGAGAGACCGAGAGAGAGAGAGAGGATCGACCGAGGATCTCCATTACAAACCCTCAAAATGCCTCCCCCCCCCCACGCGATAACGTGTCGAGGTGAGGGAGGAATTGAGTCAACAATCCAGAAAAAGAGGCATCCCAGGGCCCCATCAGAAAGCTCTGACAGGACGAGCTAATCGAAGCGGATGGTCATGGCATGTCCCACGTCAAGGTCTCCGCAAGCTGGCATTGCTGGAGAAGAGGAGGCCAGAAGGAATGCCACGCCGATCATCCTTAGTTAATGCTCACTCATCCTTCCATCCACTGGGTCTTCCTGCTGCAGGTCTTTTGGCTAGCACTTTCATTGCGCTTCCCCGATCGATCGATCCCAGCAGACCAGAGAGGAGTGCGGTGACAGGTTGAGACTCTACAATATGTGGAACGAAGCTGGGGGAAGGGGTAAAAGCTGCTGGAGAACTGGAGCCGGTCTAGAGAGGCCGGTAGACTCCATCCATCCCGTTAAGCATCCAAGCTAGTCCAGACGGACCTGTCAGAGCCAGTAAGCCGACCCACGGTACAAGACTCGATAGATCCTCTTTCCGATAGGCTGGGTCGACAGGAGTGGATGGATGGATAGATTGATTGATGGATGGATGGAGAGAGATTGATGGATGGATGGAGAATGGCAAGGACCAGCTATCGTCCCTCCTCTACTGGCACTCGGGATCCGATCGAGATGCGATCCCAACGGGCGACACAAGGACCCTCTGGACCCATGGATGATGGATGATGGATTGATAGATAGTAGGAAGAGGAAGAATAGTCCGACAGACTAGACTTCTCGCTAGTAATGGGCTGTATTGACTTCGGCGCAATTATTCTCAGCCATCATCATTCCTCATCATCGTCGTTCTCTTCCTCTTACCCCCCACGGATAGTAGTTGTCG